CAACATGTGCATGGCCTTGGCATTAAGTTGAGCTTTCTTCCGTTCTTTGTCACTCCTCTTCTTCTCATTCTTCTTTAGAGAAGAGTAGCCGTTCTCGATTATCTCTCATGCATCAAGATCATTGGATTGGATAAATACCTTCATTAATTTCTTCCAATGATGATAGTTGACTCCATTGAAGTATGGAGGTTTGTCGGTTGGTAGGGAGTCTTCATGTGGAACGGGCCGGAGGTGGAAGCCATCTTCTCGGTTGTGTCGGGAATTGGTAGAGCTTCTTCGAGAATCGTCTCAAGGTGGTTAAACCATCATAACGAGTTAGGCTCTGATGCCAATTGTTATGATTTTTGGAAGCTCGATTCGACAACCGAAACGGTTTGCAAAGAGGGGTCGAAACGGTTTTTGAGTTTAGGGAGTAAGGAGATTGAAAGATAGAAAATTGCACAGTGATTTAGAGTGGTTCGACTTTCTAAACCAAAGTCTACGTCCACTACCTTAGCTCCTCACCAAGTATTTTCCAACAAATTCACTACTTTGTTCTTTCTTTTAAGGACAAATAGATAACCTTCCAACTCCCTAGTTTTTACGGGCTAAACTAGAACCTTTCCCTAGCTTTTACACGGGATAAGCTAGAACCTTTCCCCTTTACAAAAGGATAAAATAAGTAAACAAGAAAACCTCTCTAAGGTAGGTGTTTACAAGATTGAGCTCACAAGAACAAAATATTTACAAGAGAATGATTAAATAAGATTGAAAAACTCTTCTCTTGTGTTTTATTGCTTGGATAGTTGTTCTCTTGCTTCTTCAAGTGTCCTTAGCTTGTATTTATAGCTTGGAATGTGTTTGATGTTGTATATAGCCGTTGGGGATGTTTTGGAGCCGTTTGGGGATGATTTTTCTACTCAAAAAGGCTACCCATAACATGGTGCATCGGTGCACTATCATGGTGCATCAATACCCCTTCATTATATTCAAATAAACTAGTCGTTACTAGCCGTTGCAGCCTTTGTGCATGGATGCACAGCAGGATGCATCGATACACAGCCTTGATTCATCGATGCACAGAAGGAAGCATCGATGCACTAATTGCATTCGGTGTTTGAGTGCATGGATGCACTGCATGATGCATCGATGCACTAGTACAGGTGCATGGATGCACTGCAGGGATGCATGGATGCACTACAGGGGTGCATGGATGCACTTTGACACCCTTTAGCATTTTGGCTCAAATCCGAATTGAATGGACTTTGAATTATTTTTTAAACCTTTTAAAACTTTGAATAAATTCAATTAAGTCCAAAAACATTTTTGGAAATTCAATTCAAGTCCAAAAACCATTTTGTCTTAAATTTGTTATATCGAAACATAATTCAACAATCTCCCCCTTTTTGATATAACAAAACATTTGAAAAATTGTTTTTGCAAAACTCCTCCTTAATAAAATGTTTAATGAAAAAGATACCAATTGTTAACAAAATGATATCAAAATATATGAAAATGTTAAGCTCCCCCTTTTTCATTAAGAAATTGAATTTTTTAAACCAAACTTCTCCCCCTTTTTGATATATCAAAAATAATTCAATCTTTGAAGTTCAAAATAACTTTGGAGAGTAAGTAGTAAAATTGACATTTTAAAAATCATTTAAAAAAATCAAAGCTCCCCCTCAATAAATGCATTCCAAATAAAATTATGCTTTTAGGATCTTAACACTTAAACAAAATTGAATTTCAATAAAGAATAACAAACATGTTAGTAGCCCATGAAATTCAATACATCCAAGTCTAAAATACTTTATGCAATATCAATTATTGAAATTAAGTGCACATGCATAAAGTTTTCCAAAAATGTTATGCATTTGAAAATTTTGATATCAATTGTTAGAGAGATATCATTTTCATTTAAACCACATGCATAAACATTTAAATTTAGGTCGAAAATTTTAAAATTTATAAAATCAAAACATTTGAAAAGTTGATATCAATTGTTAGAGATATATCATTTGCATTAAAACCAATTTTGACCAAAATTTTATTATGATGAACTAAAAATTCTTAAAATTAATATAACTTTAAAATGTTCATCATAATCATCTTTTCAACATACATGAGATTAAAACAATGATGCATAATCATTTAAAACCAAAACTCATGCATGCTTAAAATCAAATGAGCAACCAAATAACCAAAATTAAAAGCATTAAGCTTAGAGGTTACCCATTCCTTTTCATGTGTGGATAAAGCATCTTGAATATCATCATTTTCATCACCATTGCTCCCACACACCTACAAGAGGCATTTAAGTAGATTTTGGTATCCAAATTGCTTTGGATCCTTGGACGTTAGTTTCAATGCCCCTTGTTCCTTTAGGAATCCACACTTGTCTAATTTTAAAACATTTTCCTTTCTTCAAAGGACAAGTATGTTCATTATGACCATGATAATGACAATGTGAGCATATTGTCATTATTGAACTAAATGAATTATTTAAAATAATTTCTTTTTCTTTTGTTAAGCATTCAAGCTTAACTTTTAAATCAAAATTTTCTTTTTCAAAACTTTCAATTTTTATTTTTGAAAGCTCTAAATCATTTTTCAAAATTTCATTTTGGCTTTCAAAATCTATTTTTGTTTTCAAAAGAAAATCATTTTCGATTTTCAAATTTGAAATCATTTTCTTATATTTGGAGTTCATGGTCTCAAACTCCGAATATAACCTATTAAAAGCATCTTGTAACTCATCAAACGTATATGAATTAAATTCATTTGAGTTAAAGATATCTCGGGCTCTTCACAAGCCATTAGAGACATCACCTTTATTGGTTCTTCTCTCTTGTTTCCATGGATTTCCTCGAGCTTATTCCAAAGCTCCTTGGCACTTGAACATGAAGAAACTCCTTCATAGATTTCAGGACCAAATGCACACAACATCATGTGCATGGCCTTGGCATTAAGTTGAGTTTTCTTCTGTTCTTTGTCACTCCTCTTCTTCTCATTCTTCTTTAGAGAAGAGTAGTCGTTCTCGATTATCTCTCATGCATCAAGATCATTAGATTGGATGAATACCTTCATCAATTTCTTCCAATGATGATAGTTGACTCCATTGAAGTATGGAGGTTTGTCGGTAGGTAGGGAGTCTTCCATGTGGAACGGGCAGGAGGTGGAAGCCATCTTCTCGGTTGTGTCGAGAATTGGTAGAGCTTCTTCGAGGATCGTCCCAAGGTGGTTAAACCTTCTTAACGAGTTAGGCTCTGATTCCAATTGTTAGGATTTTCGAAAGCTCGATCCGACAACCGAAACGGTTTGTAAAGAGGGGTCAGAACGGTTTTTGAGTTTAGGGAGTAAAGAGATTGAAAGATAGAAAATTGCACAGTGATTTAGAGTGGTTCGACTTTCTAAACCAAAGTCTACGTCCACTAACTTAGCTCATCACCAAGGATTTTCCAACAAATTCACTAATTTGTTCTTTCTTTTGAGGACAAAGAGATAACCTTAAACTCCCTAGTTTTTCCGGGATAAACTAGAACATTTCCCTAGCTTTTACACGGGATAAGCTAGAACCTTTCCCCTTTACAAAAGGATAAAATAAGTAAACAAGAAAACCTCTCTAAGGTAGGTGTTTACAAGATTGAGCTCACAAGAACAAAATATTTACAAGAGAATGATGAAATAAATTTGAAAAACTCTTCTCTTGTGTTTGATTGCTTGGATAGTTGTTCTCTTGCTTCTTCAAGTGTCCTTAGCTTGTATTTATAGCTTGGAATGTGTTTGATGTTGTATATAGTCGTTGGGGATGTTTTGGAGCCGTTTGGGGATGATTTTCTACTCAAAAAGGCTGCCCATAACATGGTGCATCGTGCACTATCATGGTGCATCGATACCCCTTCATTAAATTCAAATAAACTAGCCGTTGCAGCCTTCGTGCATGGATGCACAGCAGGATGCATCGATGCACAACCTTGATGCATCGATGCATAGAAGGATGCATCGATGCACTAATTGCATTCGGTGTTTGAGTGCATGGATGCACTAGTGCATGTGCATGGATGCACTGCAAGGATGCACTGCAGGGGTGCATGGATGCACTTTGACACCCTTTAGCATTTTGGCTGAAATCCGAATTTAATGGACTTTGAATTATTTTTTAAACCTTTTAAAACTTTGAATAAATTCAATTAAGTCCAAAAACATTTTGTAAATTCAATTCAAGTCCAAAAACCATTTTGCCTTAAATTTGTTATATCGAAACATAATTCAACAATCCTGAGATACATCAAAGGGACCTCTAATGTTGCATTATGTTACAGAGGATCAAACTTACTTATCAATGGGTATGTCGATTCTGATTATGCAGGAGATTTGGATAAAAACAAATCTACTACAGGATATGTGTTTAAAGTTGCTGGTGGAGTTGTAAGCTGGGTTTCAAAATTGCAGTCAGCTGTGGCTACATCCACAACAGAGGCAGAATATGTAGCAGCTACACAAGCCAGTAAAGAAGCAACTTGGTTGAAGATGCTATTGGAGGAGCTTGGGCACAATCAAAAGCATGTCTCTTTGTTTTGTGACAGTCAAAGCGCCTGCATCTAGCAAGGAATCCAGCATTTCATTCAAGAACAAAGCACATACGAGTTCAATACCATTTCATTCGTGAAAAGGTGGAAGAAGGGACGGTAGATATACAGAAGATCCATACCAAAGACAACATAGCAGATTTCATGAAGAAGCCGATCAACGCTGATAAATTTACGTGGTGTCGATCCTCTTGTGGCCTGTCAGAGACGTAAGCAACATGATGGTACAAGGTAGAAAGAATGGTGTGAAGATATGATTGTTCCAATCAAATCTTCAAGTGGGAGATTGTTGAAAGTCAAATGCACTTTCGGTACATTGTGAAAAAAAGGGGTAGGCACCGAATATACAATGTCAAAATTAGGCGCAACAAAGAGTGCCTTGCAAAGTAAGATTAAAATAACTTTTACATTTCAAAATACTAATTATGCAAACATGGTTTCTTTGGCTTATTTTTTATATACATGTTACTTCAGGTATTGGTTCACTGTACTTTCTGAGCACTCGCCAGACCTTGTTGATAAGGTAAATATAAACACTATGAGGCATCTAGTATTGCTCTTGGAAGAGCATTTCCTGATTGTGTTCTAAGAAAGGAGTCATTTTCACTGAAAACTTTATTGTTTTCAATGGCTGATGGCATTTTGTTATAACAATAAAAACTTAATGTAAGAATGTGAGTATATAGGTCTGAGGTTTTTGTTATCCTCTCTAGCAATTCTAGATATTATTCAAAGCGTTAAGGGTATCTAAAATTTAAAAATGCTTGAAATGACTTCTATTTTTCATTTTTTATTTTCTTTTAGATTATATAAAAGAACTTCCCTTTTTCTAAAGGGGGAGAAACACGAGAGATAGAAAGAAAGAAAGAAAGAAAGAATAAAGAGAGTTCTCCTCACTTAGTTGGCCATATTAAAATAGCATGAAGTCCAACAAGAAAATTATTTTCTTATTAAATTAGTTTATATAGTTTGAAGTTGGATTTTTATAAACTTGTTCTATAATCTGAGAGTTTGCAAATGTGTTGGGCTGTGGCAAGTGAAGGTGGAACTGATGATGCTAAAAGAAGAGGTGATGCTTTTGCTCGTGCTTTCTCTGCTCATTTGGCTAGGTGACTTACCCTATTGTAACATTTAAACTTTTTCTGGCTTTTAAAGTTGGTTGTTAATTGGTACATATAATCAAACAATAAAGATGGTAAACTATTATTATTGTAGCTGAGGTTCTTTTTTCCCTTTCTATGAGGATTAGTTTAAAACAAGAGAACTTTGGACAAGAACATAATGTCAATAATTGGGAATTAGGTCACTTTGTAATTTTCATATGAGAAATATGTAAATGCCATCTTTACCAGGATGAAGTCCTCGGAGTTAAATAGAGCACCATGGAATGTTCTAATCCATTTAACTGCCATGATTAGGAGAAGGCTTTATTTGAAATTCACTTATTACTGCTAATGTGAATTCTGCTTTGATGATTTGTTGTGTACATGTAAACAGTTGTTAAAGGAATTATGTTTACTGGAAGCTTGTGATACTTGCCCACCCAAATGCAGTTTATTATTGTTTCTAGATTCTGTTGTACTGAAAAAGATTGGAACAAATATAACTTATAATTTTGGATGCTTTTGCATTTACAACCTTTTGAATAGATTGATGGAGGAACCAACTGCTTATGGGAAGTTGGGATTGACCAATCTTTTGTAACCAAGAGAATAGTGCTTGAGGGAGTTTCAGTTTCATGATGCTTATAGAAGCATCAAATCATTTTTAGTACAACTTTCTTGGTAAATGGCAAGCTAAACTAGATGGGTGGTTGTATCTGTTTTTCCATTTATTACTTTGTTTTTGTTTCTTAAAGAGTAATTTTTCATATATTTGTATTTTTTTTTAAAAATATATGGGGAGTGGACCATATTCTTTTTAATGTTAATACTGGTGTGGGTATAAGCCCAATACTGCATTAACAACTTCGATAACCTTTGGGGGGCTTATGGATCTCCCTTGAGAAGAGCTAAAGTCTGCCCCCAAACACAAGGTAGGTCTATGAAGTATTTGTTGTGGAATTCGGGTTAATTTTCACCAATAATAACAAATTCACCTTGAAAATTATTATCTAGGTGACTAGTATGAAAACGATTGTACTAAAAATCACCCCCAAGGTAGATTCCCATGAAAGAGTGGATAGGTCACAATGGTCCCTCTTAAAACACTCTCCTTAGACAGAACTACCAAGACAAGTAATTTTAAAAGGACAATAATTAACAACAACTATACCCGACAATAGCTATTAAATAGACATAAAGAGAACACCAAAATTTAACGAGGTTAGGCCAAAATTTTACCTACGTCCTTGAACACTACTAAAATAATATTTCACTAATAGAGGAAATATTACTAAGAGAGAGAAAGAGTACAAGTAACCTTTAATATAGAAGAATGATTATATTTGTGGGATACTTAACTAAGGAGGAGGAGAGCTCTATTTATAACAAAATAATTTCCCCTCCTCCTTATACACAACCAATGTGGGATTTTGCCAAAAAAACCAACAAATCTCCACCTTGGCAAATTCCACACACATCTCTCAAAAATCCAATCTTTAGTAGTGTCTGCAAATTCATCTTTCAATTTGTAACAATATTGACCAAGTCTAAACAATGTTTAAACATGACCGCAGTTACCACTTTTGTCAACATATCAGCAGGATTCTCAGTGGTCCGAATCTTCTGGATTATGACTCCACATTCTTCTAGAATCTCTCGTACAAAGTGATATCGAACATTGATGTGCTTCGTCCTTGCATGGTAAACCTGGTTCTTTGCTAAATGAGTAGCACTCTGACTGTCACAGTGCACTTTGATGTGCTTCTGTTCCATTCCCAATTCACCAAGCAACCCTTAAAGCTAAATTGCCTCCTTCACAGCCTCTGTAACTGCCATATACTCTGCCTCTGTAGCAGACAAAGCCACTATTGACTGTAAGGTGGACTTCCAACTGACTGGTGCCTTTACAAATGTAAACACATAACCGGTAGTTGATCGACGCTTGTCCAAATCACCTACATAGTCTGAATCACAATACCCAACTACACATAAACCATCTTGTTTGTCCTGCTGAAAGACCAAACCAACATCTACGGTGTCCAGAATATACCACAGAATCCATTTCACAACTTGTCAATGCTCCTTTCCAGGATCATGCATATACCTGCTCACAACCCCAACTACCTGTGAAATATCAGGTCTCGTACACACCATTGCATACATCAAGCTACCAACAGCACTTGCATACGGAACCTTTGACATGTATTCTCGTTCTGCATCATCCTTAGGTGACATGGATGCACCGAGCTTGAAATGAGGAGCAAGAGGTGTACTAACTGGTTTTGACTTCTCATTTATGCCAAAACGTTTTAGTACCTTCCTCAGATATTTTTTTAAACAAACAAAGCCTCCCCAATTTCTTATCTCTTGATATCTCCATGCCTAGAATCTTCTTCGCTTCACCAAGATCCTTCATTTCAAAATCCATGTTCAATTGAGTCTTTAGTTTCGCAATTTCTGTCTGACTCCTGGAAGCTATCAGCATATCATCGGCATAAAGAAGAAGATATATATATGATCCGTCTTATAGCTTGCGTAAATACACACAATGATCATATTTGCTTCTTGTGTACTTCTGCCCTATCATAAACTTGTCAAATCGCTTGTACCATTGCCTTGGAGATTGCTTCAATCCGTATAGCGATTTTTCTAATTTGCACACCATCTCTTCTTTTTCAGCAACTTTGAATCTATCTAGCTGAGTCATGTAGATTTCCTCATCCAAGTCTCCATGTAAAAATACAGTTTTTACATCCATCTGAACTAGTTCCAAATCCAACTGCGCTACCAAATCCAACTGCGTCTAATTGTTCTCTTTCCCTTTCTAAGTGCAATTGATTCATGTCGTTGTGGAGGTTCTTGGGTCTGAACCTCTTCTTCATCTGACTCTTCTTCTACCATAGGAGAGTCAATATCAGTTTCTTTACTGGCTGGGATAATTTTGCTTCCTTCAAACTCCACCTATTTGGGAGTTCCATCTGTCTGCTACAATTTTTCTGAAGTCACCTTTCTCAACATGGTAGATTCATCAAAGGTAACATCCCTGCTAAAGATTATTTTCTTTGTTTCTGGACACCAAATACGATAGCCTTTCACACCAGAGGTGATCCCTATAAAGATCACCTTCTTTACTCTTGGATCCAGCTTTGACTCCTTAACATGGTAGTATGCAGTAGAACAAAACACATGTAAGGTATCATAATTTGAGGCAGGTTCTCCAAACCATTTCTCTAATTATGTTTTACCACCAATAGCAGTCGATGGTAAGCGGTTGACAAGGTGACAAACATAGACCAAAGCCTCAGCCCAAAATTCTTTGCCTAACCCAGCATTAGACAACATACACCGAACCTTCTCCACTAATGTCCAGTTCATACGCTCTGCCACCCCATTTTGTTGTGGTGTATTTCTGACAGTGAAGTGCTTGACTATACCTTCTTCTTCACAGACTTTCAGAAATGGATCATTTTTGTACTCTCCACCATTGTCTGTACGGAGACCTTTGATTTTTCTGTCTGTTTTAGTCTCCACCATCTTTTTCCATTTAAGGAAAAATCCTAGCACCTCATCCTTTGTCTTCATTGTATACACCCAAACTCTCTGGGTAAAATCATCAACAAATGTGACATAATAGTGTTTTCCTCCCAATGAAGTTATCTTGGAAGGCCCCCATACATCTGAATGAACATAATCCAAAATACCTTTGGTATCATGGATTGTTGTTCTAAATTTCACCCTCGTCTTCTTCCCTTTGATGCAATGCTCACAAAAAGTTAATTTGCAAGCCCGAGCACCCTCCAATAATCCTTGATCTATCAGCAATTTCAAGGATTTTTCACTAACATGCCCCAAGCGCATATGCCATAACCTGGTTGCTTCTGATTTCTGTTCATCAGTAGAAGCTGCCACTGCTGATGTCCCAACAATTGTATTACCCAAAAAGTAATACACATTGTTTCTTTTCTGGATTCCCTTCATTATCACCAGTGCACCTGAGATAATCCTCATAATCCCATCTTTTGCCCTCATTTCTAAACCTTTAAACTCTAAGGTTCCCACAGAGATGAGATTTCTCATTAAATCTGGTACATAATGGACACCTGTTAAGGTTCTGATTGATCCATCCTGATTCCTCAAATGAATTGAACCAATCCCAAGTGTGTCAAGAGGGGAATTATTTGTTGTGTAGACAATTCCACCTTTTAGTTCTTTAAAATCAAAGAATCATTCTCTATTGGGGGTCATATGGTGGCTACAAGCTGAATCTAATAGCCATGAACTGAACAACTGGTTGATGGCGTAGCAGCGAATGCAAAATCTGAATGCATCATCATACTCGACCATATTTGATTCTGAGACAGCCTTTCCCCTTTCAGGTTTGCCTTTATTCTTTAGCCTGGGACATTCTTTTTTCCAGTGCCCTTTTTCTCGACAAAAGGTATATTCATCTTTGCTTAATATGGACTTTGACTTCGATCTCTCCCTCATTCCTTTATTCTGACTCTTCGAACGACCTCTAACAACAAGAGCTTCTGCTTTGACACTTATATTTTCTTGTTTGTCTTTCTTTCTCAATTCATAACTATACAAGGTAGTAGTTACTTCACTGAAAGACACATCAACCTTCCCATGAAGTAGAGTAGTTTCAAGATACTCAAAATCATCAGGAAGTGATCCCATCAACATCAGAGCTAGATCTTCGTCTTCAAAAGCCACGTCAATATTCATCAGATCAGTCACTAGCTGATTAAAGCTAGTAATGTGATCATTTATAGTGGTACCTGGTACATAGTTGAAGCGGAACAATCTCTTTTTCATGTAGAGCCTGTTCTGACTATTTTTCTTCAAAAATTTCTCCTCTAGTGCCTTCCACAATTTACTTGCAGAGTTTCCTTAGAATATGCATACTTCTGCTCTCTAGAAAGACATGATCAAATAGTACCACATGTCAATCTATTGATCCTCTTCCATTCTTTCTCCTCAACATCATCTGATTTCTCTCTTTCAATAGCAATATCTAGACCCTGCTGAAATAGGACATCTAGAACCTCACTTTTCCACATGCCGAAATGACCAGTGCCATAAAAAACCTCCACTGCAAATCTAACATTTGTCACAGCATTTCTTGCCAAAATTAAAGATGAAGAAGCTGTTGACGACGATGTAGATGTTTTTGAGTCGTCTATTATTTCTGCTACAAATTCTATTTAATAGCTGTCAATGCGGAATGTCAATTAGCCCAAGAAATTTTTTTCTGATGTGGAAGATCAGCCTAAGCCGCAACCACAGAGCATACTAAAATAAACCAAGAGCTCTGATACCAATTGTTGTAGAATTCGGGTTAATTTCCACCAATAATAACAAATTCACCTTGAAAACTATTATCTATGTGACTAGTATGAAACCGATTGTACTAAAAATCACCCCAATGTAGATTCCCAGGAAAGAGTGAAGGGGTCACAATGGTCCCTCTTAAAACCCACTCTCCTTAGACAGAACTACCAAGACAAGTAATTTTAATAGGACAATAATTAACAACTATACCCAACAATAGCTATTAAATAGACATAAAGATAACATCAAAATTAACGAGGTTAGGCCAAAATTTTGCCTACGTCCTCGAACACTACTAAAATAATATTTCACTAATAGAAGAAATATTACAAAGAGAGAGAAAGAGTACAAATAGCCTTTAATATAGAAGAATGCTTATATTTGTGGGATACTTAACTAAGAGGAGGAGGGCTCTATTTATAACAAAAAAATTTCCCTCCTCCTTATACACAACCAATGTGGGACTTTGCCAAAAATACCAACAGTATTAAGTATGTGATTTTCCTTTTCTATCTTCACTGTTAATTTCCAAGCAATTTTCAAGAGTACATGTAAAGGGCCAAATTTTGAAGATTTGTTCAAATACTTGCCTGGAGAAGTGGCCATACATTACATACTGTTTCATGACACATTTTTTTCAAGTCTATGCATGCAGATGTGTATATGTGAATGTTTCTTGGGACCTCATTCATTTATCAATGTTTTCCCAATGATGACAGGGAAAATGAGGCATCTCTGTCTGTTTTACCTTATCTACTACTGGAACTTAACCTGATTGATGAGGTATAGTAATCTAGAATTTAATATTTTCCTCTTTTAAAGAGACTTGGGGTAACCAAAACTACTATGCAGATGCAGTAAATTAACACTACCTCAATTTTATTCATTCTTACCTGGGAAATGTTTTAGGTACAAGATATGTGACCATTTAATGAAAATTCCAACTGAGATATTCTGTTTGGGTCACATAATGAACACTACCAGTTCTCTTGCCCTGACTTTACAACTATTTTACTGATTTTTGAATTTCTCCTCATGTTGCAGGAGACAAGGTTGCTTACCTTCAAGGTGTTCTAGCTGCAAACATATTCGACTGGGGATCATGTGCTTGTGTTGATCTTTATCATAAAGTAACAATTATTGAAATTTATAGAATGAGTTGCAACAAGATGCAAAGACCATGGCGCGTAAGTGGAGCAAAAAAATCATCACTATTGAATCTTAATTCACATTATATCACTCCTTATTAGATGTGATTAGTGTTTGAGATTGACTCCTTTTTATTGCTAAATTCTTCCTTGTACAAACATATCACTACTGAATTAGGTTGTTTATTTTCTGTGCAGAGGTTAACTTATTGGAATTAACACCAAAAGGATGTATTCTGCACCTTTTTTTATTTTCTGGCCATGGCTGGAGACATGGCTTGACGTTGGCCATGACTCGGGTCTGACGTTGCAGTTTCTCGAAAGTTCAAGTCAGTGCGAAGAATATTCTGGAAACAACTTAGCACAATCTGTGGAGGCTTTTTAGGGGATTTGGATTTAAATTTTCAAAAAGGAATTATCTTTTAATTTGTTTTAATTTCTTTGTTATCTTTAGGGTTTGGAAGCCTATAAATACCCTACTTGAGGTATGGTTTAGATCATCTTCTTCTTTAGCTTTGTTTTTGTTACTTTGCTTTCATTTTAGTAAAAGTTTTTTTTTGTTTCGTTTTCTTTTACTTTGTGCTTTTTAATTATTTTTTAAAACATGCTAAGTATGATCAATCATATCATGCTTGGCTAATTTCTTATAAACCGAGAGCTAGTAAGAAATTCAAGTATGAAAGAAAAATCTAATTTTATGTAAGACAGGTAGATGATTTTGACCTCTTTAAGGAACGAATGTTAGGATCTGAAGGGAAGAAACCTATGCCTTAAGAGAGCTTTACTCTTTGTTGATAACTCAGGTGTTGACATTGTCTTGGGCATGCTTCCACTAGCAAGAGAACTCCTTCAACGCGGAACAGAAGTAAGTTCGTCTCTTGCTTTGCTGGTGAATGATCTCCGACTGAATTATTACTTACACAATAAGATTGTCTCAAGTAGTGTTGTGAGAGCAATATAATCAGGCTTTTCTGATGATGATGCTCCTTCGCGGAATGCTGTAACTTGGAAACTGAAATGGAAATTACAATTTAAATGAAGAATTAACTTATAATGTGATGTTTCTGCAGGCTGTTTTGGTTTCAAATTCTCTTCCTGCACTGAATGATGTAACTGCCATGGAACTTCCTGATATTGTTGCTGAGGCTGCAAAGGTTTGCCTTTGTTGATCTTTTTCTTCATTTCCGCATCATTGTTTATTTCATCCCTTTGTAGTTGTATGTTTTGTTGAACATCTCATAAAAATTCTCTATTGAATTTGGAAAAAGGAGGGACTCGGTTTCCCAGGTAAAAGTTGTGTTATAGATGAACTAGTGTACAACATGTATTTAACTGGTAATAAAAGACATTTATAGCAGAGATGGGATTAACGGGATAAAAGAATAATGCTGGCATAATTTCTGGTTTTATTTCAGTTTTTGTTGTACTTTGTACTGTCATGCTTCAAACACAATAATCTGATTCTGCTAGTACACAGCATTGTGACATTCTTCGCCGAGCTGCCGAAGCAGGAGGGCTCCTAGCGGATGCAATGACCAACACATTAGATGGTTCGAAAGGAAATTCTTCTTCAGTTCCTTTGATGGTTGTTGAGAATGGTTGTGGGAGCCAATGCATAGATTTAAGGCAGGTCAGCTCTGAGCTAGCTGCAGCAGCAAAAAATGCCGACTTGGTAGGTTATTCGTTTTCTGATGCACCTCAACTCTGTGAAACATTCATCTTGATAAAACCTTTTCACCACCTTACCTTTTCGTTCTTCTGTTTTGAGAATTAAGAAATGCTGAAAGAAATAAGAGAGATCACGCATTTTGCTCCATGCAGGTTATCTTAGAAGGGATGGGTAGAGCTCTTCATACCAATTTCAATGCTCGGTTTAAATGTGAAGCCCTCAAGGCATGGTTGTCTGATCTTGAATCTCTCTCGAATTATCAAATATACGGCATAAATAGGTTCGCTTGGCTATTAATTTTAACTCAAATACCTTTGTTTGCAGCTTGCATGGTGAAGAATCAGAGGTTGGCAGAAAAACTGATTAAAGGAAAAATGTACGATTGTGTTTGCCGATGTGAACCTGCACCTGCCAGTTTATCTTCAATGCTAACAACTTAAGAGCTGTTGCAAGAAAAATAAAAACACCAGCATGAAATCCCATGGCATTAGTCTATAAATATTCATTGTCAGTTTTTAAGTTTATGATCTCGTTGAATAGAGAATTGCAAACAGCATTTGTAGATGTAATGCACATTCTTTCAGTTAGTATGAATCTTTTCATGCAACAGCTTACTCAAAAATTATTCATTATGTAGATTGCACTGAACATGGTTTCCCAGGTGTTGCAACAGTTTCATCTTTTATTGATGCTTGAAAAATGAAGGACAACACGTTAAATTCAAAAACAATAACTTGAATATTGAAAGACCATGAAGCAAACTTCTTTCTTCCTCATATTTTGTAAAAGAAAAGAAAAGAAAAGAGCTCATTCCATGACAGCAACTCCTCCAGCTGCCTTAATCTTCTCCATTATATCATTTGCTTCCTCCATGGTGACCCCCTGTTTGAGTACGATGGGTGCCTTCTCAACAAGATCCTTGGCCTCTTTCAAACCCAAATTAGTGAAAGCCCTCGCTTCCTTAATAACCTTGATTTTTGCAGCAGCATCAAACTTCTCCAACTTCACATCAAATGCCTTAGTGAAACCCTAATGGTTTGCATTTTTGGGTGCCTTAGCCTCTCGGTGAGAGTAGGACCAATTTGTCTTCGATCTTCTGTTGGTAAGGCTGCTATTCGCTCTGCCAGTTCAACAATCTTATCCGAGGGTGGAGGTCTTGGGCCATATGGATCATAAAGTTGTGGATATTTGTACTTTTTAGGCTTAGCATTGGGATCTCTTGGAACAAAATCATGCTGAAACGTCCGAGCCTGCAAAGGCCCCATTATTTCACGAATGGAGTGGGGGGCACAAATTGCTTTTGTAAGTCCAACCAACTTCATTGTTTTGCACCAGCAAACACAATGGTTTACAGGAAAATATGGATAGAAAGAATTTTTCTGCTTCAACCAATTAAGTAAGGTGTCTCTCACTTTAGCTACTTTAAGTGCTACCCGACAAGAGCTCACCTGAAGGGAAAGGAAAGGTTTATCACTATTTTGCAGAGGAAGGCACTTCTCACAGCTAACATAAATGCAGCTGATATCTTGCTATCCACACAAAAGACGTTTTCTATTGAAAAAAGAAACTGATCATGAACGATCACCGAGTTCATGTGCACCGAAATCACAACCATATATTTAACTGATGCAATTACTAATTACAGCTATCCTGGAGCTTCATCAATCACCGAGGGAATAAAAAAGTCAAGCTACTCGCAAAAAAATTACTTGGACTGAAGTCCCTAGACCCACAATATACTTCAATAAATCCTCAATCAAGTTGAGCTCAATAGCTAGAAATCACTTGGCTTGTTTGTAGAGGAGGACTTGACTAATACTTCAAATAACCAAAATATCATATCAAAATGCAAGTTAAGCCAGCAGTCTGTTGGTAGATTGCTTAAGTCAGCTCTGATGTCCTAAGACAAAACCCCGACAATCTCAAATATCAAAAGAAAGTTGAGCCAACAATCATGTGATTTGTTACTAGAGTGTTTGACTCGTAGTTATAATAGCGAAGTATCAAACTCTACCATCTCCAATGTCAAGAATTCTTTTACATTGAATGAGAATGTATCAAAATCAAGATAATTATAGAAATGGAGATGCTTTAAATCCTTCATATTGATGGTAAATTATAAGAAATAAAGTTTATATGTATGCATATTTATATAATTATTGGTATCCGATTTATTGATCAAATAATTTAAATAAGGAACTGCAAAAGCAAGAGTGACCCTCTCAACCAATTTATTCTATTTGCAAACATAAATATTCAAATATCTAATCTTGTTTAAAGTATATGTCTCGTCTCACTAAACCAACTGATTATTGATAACATATAAAAGAATATATTAATATTAAAACATGATTGTAAAATATATAAGTGTAATATTTTAAAAATACATCACATCCTTAACCATCATTGTATGTACCATTTATATCTCGCAGCAGACATTAGGACTAGAATTTAATACTAGGGAGATGCATCGATCAAAGCCTATTTTAGCGACAAAATGATTGTCTGTAGAAGAGTGGGCTTCCAGAAACCCAATCGAAATATTTGTTCAGGAAGTGGGCAACTCAACCATCTCTTTGCAATTCATTTTGGGGAGTTTCCATGGGCTTATCTTTTGTTTCTTTTCAAAACCATTGATTCTTTGTATCATGTATTCGAGGAATGAATTTGTGATCAATTGGTATCTTACCATTCAAGGTTGTTAATATGGTGTGTGAGTTATAGCAAACATAAAACAGCTCATATCCTTCTAGGTATCCATAACAATGGATTACTTTGATTCAGTCCCAAGGCAAAACCCACCAAGCTATTATGAGCAGGATGAAGCGCCTCTTTTATTACCCAAACTAGTGGTGTGAGTTGGTAGAGGCAAACAAGAGTCGGCTCCTAGTTTATTTAAGAGGTATTAGTTAGTTACAGCAAGCCAACTCTCCTCTAGTACAATCCATCTATTTTCATCTCCAATTATTTGAAACGATGAGAAAAGAACCCTTAAAGTTGAAGAATGTTAATAAGACCAGATGATACTTGCACATAACGGAACTGGAAATGCATTTATAATTATTGGGGTATATAAAGAACTAGTCATACTGAGAAAGGTCGACATACATAGTTTAGATGCTGACACAAATAACTTGGGCTAACTTTTAGATCACACTTACACCGGAAAGTGAATCCAGCTTCAGTTCTCACCATAGCTGTTTTCCTGTTCTTGTTTAACAGCGGAGCTCCCTGTCGAAAAGCCTCCATTCATCTCCACTGCACCAGCTGACTCTGACATCTTTGTAATCCTCTGTAACTCATCAGTTACCTCTGAGGGATGAGCTGCCGATTGATCATCAGCTGATTGTTCTTGCGTAGCTGTTTCTTTGGGAGCTGATTTTGGCCGCCAAATGGCTTCACCTGCTTCCAGCATTGCCACAGGTGGTGGTTGGGGAGGAACCCATGTACGTTGGACGAGTGGTGGTGGTTGTTCATTGGTTCTCACACCAAAAGGTCCAGTAGCCTTAACTTCATCTTCATTTTCAATCTCTGTGATTCTGACATTTTTCCGTTGCCACCAAGGTGTGGAGCTCTCATCATCCAGCAGATAGTTTAACCCATTGTCTCGCCCATTCTGATTCAAGCCTTCAGCACTTGTCTGAGACTGGAGTACCTGGTGGCGGGAGCCATTTTGGGCCTCCCAGGGCTACTCATTTAGAGAAGGGGACGGGGAAATACTAGTCAGATCAAACATAGAATCAGTAACCAATTTGGAAAATATATTTATGTCCCCCAAAACTTGTCGAACATGATACTTAGAATATCCCACTTCTCAAAGATAATTAACCACATTGAAGTGGAATCCTAGTAGTCTATATGAAACAAATGCAAGATAAAATAATCCTCAAGATAAAGGAGAAACTCTAGAACTGACCTTAGTTCTTGGTGCTATGCGAGGATTTGACAGTTGCTGGTTAGGGTTGGGAGGCATGTCATTAACTTCCTGCATATCAACCAGGAATAACAAAGTTAACATTGATGCATGCAATAAACAAACAAATATCAGCTTTGAGATGGTAACTGGATTACTCGGATATTTGAAGGTTTCTCCCCTCTTTGGATCATTTCCATAATCTGCAACATAATTACAATATCAATTACAAAAATGTCTTCAAAACCTATCCAGAAATATGGCATTTGTTTTGCAACTGTTAAATATCGTAACTCAGAGGAGCATTTATCTAATGATGAAGCAAATTACTACCTCCATGTAAGACTTTGGGTGAGGCGGTTCCGCGGATGCAGGTGGTGTGGAGGATCTCCCTGCTTTAAAAAAAATAGTTATATAGGATATTGGAATTCAAATTCTTAGAACAGGCTAGACATCCAAGTCCAGAAAATTAATCAGAGGAAAATTACCTGGCTGCACATTGACATCCACCTTGCCGTTTGCATAGGATTGCTGTAAAGACATTCTTATTTAGTAATAGCTCATCTCGTAGAACTAAAACTAGGATCAGAGAATTTCTTTTTCCATTACAGATATGAAATGTTCGGAATTAACCTAGTTTCGGCATACCTTTGTACTTGAGGACGATACTCTATGATCATCATGATCAGAAAATGCCCTGCCAGAGCTATTAGCTTGTCCTGATAGTAAAAAAACAACAAAATTAGCAATGATGTTCAACTCACCAGCCGCAATTGAGTTGTCTTCTGAAGAAACTTTTCATTTTAGTAATTTTAGAAGATTCTCTTGGGAAACAATAAGCAACTGGTACCAATGAAACTAAATGACATTGGATGTCATCCAATGCCAACTGAAGTCGTTTAATAATCATCATAATGTTTTCTCTTAGCACCATTAATACAAGAAGATAGCTTGCTGAATGATTGAGCTAGGTTCCTTGCTGGGGCAATATCCTATAGCAAACAAATATAATCTAGCAATTTAATATCAATCAATTTATAGCAAGGAGTGTCTTCTTCTTCCAAAGCTGTAACTTCCTAAGAGACCTTTGCTATTGTTTTGGGTTCCTTGCATCTCTATAAAGTGCACCCAATATTAACTAGGGTCATAGAAGAAGCAAGGTATCAATATCTACAGGTAAATTAATATCCAACACCATGTTTATAAACTAAGGTCAAAGTAGAACCTGAATAAAACATTACTTCCTTTAATATGCAACAATGCAGATATAAGCATGGCCACAACAGGAAAAGGTCAAGAATCAAATTCCATGAATATTTCACGAGACTCGTCTACACCAAAAACTGATATCAAAGTACCTTCCAATTTTCTTATTGAATTACTCATTGACTTCATCTCTTGCATTTGCACATCCATCAGATTCATAAATTCCTCGAATCGCCTCCTCTCTGGCAGGTATCAAACTAGGTTCAGTAAATCAAGAAGATACTTATGCAAGAACAAAAAACCAATCAAACATAATGAAACCAGTCAGCAGAAAATGAAAAACGCCTTTACAACACCTTCGTTTTTGGAGTTCAACATTTCCTGGCTCGCTTTTGCAACATCAGAAGCTGCAGCCGCTGCTGCTTTTGCTGCAGCTGCAGCCTCCTCTACCAGACTTGGTTTTGCATCAATTTTCTTGGCATAGTCATTTTCTTCTTCCAGCACGACTTTACGTACCCACAACTTCAACTTTGGGATAATAACTTTCTAAAACAAAACAAAAGTAACATGAATGTGAGAAAAGTCTAGTTTATGAGGTTGCACTTGAAGCCGAATAAAAGCAGTTTGAAGAGATGGAAAGAATTCAGCATTAACATATGGCACATCTTACCAAATACTAATTGATAGAAGATGTATTTTGTTCTGGGTAATGAAACAGTAAATGATATCCATACCTTGATTAATAAAGCTGTGCCACAACCTGAAGCTGCCAATAATCCTACAGCAGAAACAGCATGGTTCCAATGAAACTGCCTCCGTGCAACTGTTACCGAAGATGCAATACCAGCAGGAGCAACTGCCACGGGCTGGGGTGTTTGAATTGGGGCCTGAGTTTGAACATTAGACGAAGACTTCTCTTGCCCATCTGATTCCATTATGATACAGCAACAAAATATCATCAGTGACCCAATGATAAGAAAACAAAGGCTTGACTCCCACTTCACTAATACAATATATTACCTTGATTCAAACTAGCCGGCTGTGAACTAGGAGTAGGGTCCTGTCACCAATGAATGAGTGCTTCATAGACAGTTATCAACAGAATCAAAATACCAAGACAATGAAGAAAACAATTATATTACCGGCACACGCCGAAAAGCTTCATCTATCTCCTCCTTTGTGAGGCCTTTCCTCTCAAGAAATGATCTTCTATAGATAACAGGAGAACCCCTAACTTTGGGGTGCGAAAGAAATTTGACAGCATTCGAAACCTGGTCCTCTCTCATTGGTTCGGAGTTCACAAACACAGATGCTGGAACACTATGTTTAGCAGCCTCTGCCCCAACATCTTGCTGAACCTGATTTGCTTCGTGTACAACCTCTGTTGAAATTGGTATCTTAAATTAGAATCACTTGTTTTTAAGTTAAAATAAATCAGAATTATTCAGCTCCCTTCACATATACCGCACTTTCCCTTTCAATATGTTCCCAGTTTTCACATATATCTAAAACCCAGAATTTTCTTTTTCTTATGACGCTGCATATAAGTGAGCAAATTCCTCTAAAAGATTTGGGTTTAATTCCATGTTAGTAGAAAGTCAACGCAACGAAGATTACAGACTATATAAAATAACTTAGAAAAATGAAAAAGGGGATAAAACCTGAGTCTGCTTGGGGCTTATCGTCATTGGAATTGGGAGGAGAAGGGGACTGAGTCGTAGCCATGGCGGCTCACTGAGTTAGAAAGACTAAAAAAAACCTGAACCAACAAAAAAGGAAAATAGGAAGAGGGTGAAGACTCGAAGTAAAGGCTTGTTGATGGGACTGCTGACAATTGATGATGAAAACTAAGGAATCAGAAAAGAGGATTTTTGCTGATTTCGATGCTGCTTATCAGGAATTTTGCTCATCCTTTATCCGTTCAATGGCTTTAATTACATCCAAGGTTTTTTGGGGCCACACAATGAAAACTTTATACCTTTCAAACCTAAACAACACCATGAGCCAACATTTTCACCTGTGTAATGGGCTTCGCTGAAAGTACATGTTAGTTGGTAGGAAAATAAAGAGATGACCTTTGCAATTAGATGAAAAAATCACAATGTACCAAAAAAAAAAAAAAGATGAAAAAATCACGCTCCCTTCACCATCATCAAGTGGCGTCGTGGCCAATATAAAAATCAGCACCATATCTATTTTTTTTTTCTTTTTCGAGTTTAGGATACATGTGATATTTTTGTATTTTAATTAAATTACAATGTAATATTTGTTTTAAAGATTTTAAATCATTTGATAATGAACACTCAAATACCTTTGTAGATTTTAATGATCGAACTCGAGACAGATACAATAATTATCCCTTTAACCAATAAAGTAAATTGATTCATGTATAAAATAATGATATTTTAAACCATTTTTGTATTTTTGTTTATGTCTTGATATTAATTGAAATACACTAATGTTTTCGGGCTGTTGGACTCATATTAGCGTGAGCTGGAAATGTTGGTGGTTTTATAATGGTGATCATATCTAATCAAATCTCATGAGCTGTTGATTTTTAGACGTTTTTGAACTAGTTGACCTTAGTTAATGAAATGATAATATTTGTGGGGATAAAAATGATTAATAATGGCAGCCTATGAAACGTCAAGCATCATCACTAATCTAATTATCATGCCAGATACAAAGTGGTGTTTCTATAGGAATAAGATTTGATGAATCTGCAAAATTGATACACATACAACACCAAAAAGAGTAAGAGAGGTGCAATTTAGAGAGAGAGAAAGAATCCATCTGCTCTTCCCGTTAACCAAAACTACAAGACAGCATTATCCTCATAGTCACAAAATACCTCAGATTCTAAGGTGATTTCAACCCGGTAATATTAAACGGTTGAATAGCACAAGGAAACTTTGTTCAGGCACCATGTAAAGGAAATCTAGATCACCTCCTTTCACATACGCTCCAATGCCCTGCATGCACGGGGATTGCAAAATCAACAAAATGATTTCACTTGCATTGCATCAAGTCCCATCTAATCCGAAATCCCGAATATTTTCTTACCTTGCCGTTAAGTTGGAGAAGTTCGCCCTCAACCCATCGTGGATTATGGAAACCAAATTCTGCTATTCTTCCCTGACCTTTGCAGCATGCAACCTGTGTTTTTAGTTTTCCCCCATCAATCACAATTCCAAATTAATGTCAACCAATAAAAGGCACATGCTTTCGTCTGTATGAGTGACACAGTACCATTAATGGTTTACTGAAAGAAGAAGAAAAACAGATTGATTGAATGATTAACAAGATTTCCTGGTCAGTTGCTTCCGCAGTCATGGGATGACTATCTATTTATTTCATATCATACAGCTTTAAAATTCCTATAAGTAAATTATTTGATCTTCCTGATTTCATACATTTTGTAAACAACTAAACGAGAGTTCCAACTTAATAGGATCTGCTTGTTTCCATAGTGAGAAAATCACTGGCAACTTGTACCGTAATACAATTTAGATAGTAACCGAAACTTACAAACTGAAAGAAAGAAAACGAGAGCAATTACCGCTCCTAACTCATCTGGATACAACCCACGGTTTGGGAGGCGGCTCTCTCTTCCAATTTTGGCACGAAAAGTAACCTAAGATCGTAAAAGCATATTGATTACCGCAGGCATGTGCCATCAACAACATTACAACATAAAATTAAAACTCTCATACTAGAAATAAGCTGGACAGCTATCAATAGATTTATCTAAGATATGAATAAAATGAACATTGAGATTTCCAGTAAGCTTCACAGCTTCAACATACTCAAAGAACTCAACATCTGAAGATTCATCATCTGCATCACTCCAGCAACCATATTTACACCTCAGTTGAACTATTTCAGTTCCATAAGGACCAAATGCACCGACATAGAGGCCTGCAGTTCAAACAGCTGGTATCTATCAATGATGCTTAGTATGCAGGGGAAGAAAAAAAGATACCATAAGAATAGCCACCCTCAAATGGGTCCAAATTTCCATTGTCACTGCTGATTCGGTTTAAATTTGTAAACTCGGATAATCTGCTCTGCCTCGGTGCCTGACTAACAGCAAGTTTGATTTCACGCACATCTCTAGAAACCTAAAATAATATTAACAGTTAGTCATATACTTATCAAACTTGGTTATCAAATATCTACCTATACAAAACATCCATTGTTTGAGAAAAATATAATATACCTCAAATCAGCATTTCCTCCTATTTCTAAAATGGCACAAAGTGGTAATAAAACGTCTACTCAGCACTTCAACAGCACTCAATAGGGAGCATGGCGACTACATATAAAAGGATGTGTGGCTTTTTATAAGTTGAAAGAGTCGTTAGAATCAAACATCTGGAAGTATTTCAGTTATGTTATGCTTATCCCACTAAAAAAGGCCTTTGATAACACCAATGAGAATAATGTTGGTATACTATTTAAATATTAATGTTAATTATCCGAATCCAGTGGTTTAGATTTAAAACTCACCTTAGAAGAAGCCTTATCTGAACCCCAAAATGCCTTGGCAACATCCGGGGGCATAAGCTCAGAAACACCTTGAGTTGCAATAGCTGCTATTTTCACATTGGATGCTTTGCTTTATCCAGTATCACTATCTAAGCTTCTCTTGGGAACATGTAGCAGAAAAGAATCTTTCTCCAACTCCTTTATATTAGCTGGAAGACGAATATATTCATCCTTTATATCAGTTGGAAAATGGTGCGAGGACATCTGCTCAGTCACATGTCAAATAAATTATTTGATATGTTCCTTAGAGAAATGAATGCCAAGACAATATGGGATACTCTCGATAAAAAGTATGGTTCGGACGATGCTGGCATCAAGAAGTACGTTGTCGGCGAATGGCTCAAATTCCAGATGACTGATGACAAGCCCGATAATGGATCAAGTCCATGACTATGAGAACCTAGTCGCTGACATCATCGCCGAACGGATGCAAATGTGCGAGGTGCTGCAAGCCAATGTTCTCATTGAGAAGCTGCCCAAGTCCTGGTCCGACTACCGCAGCTCTCTTAAGCATAAGAAGAGAGAAATTTTGCTTGAAGAGCTCGTGGGCCATATGAAGATTGAAGAAGCCAGCCGTTTAAAAGATAAGCTTACTAATTCTATGAGTAATTTATCTTTTAGAGCTAACTTGGTTGAGTCTAAATTTAAGAAGATCATGAAACGTGGGAATCAAGACAAGAAGAAGAAACCTCAGAAGGCTACCAACTTCAAGAAGTCAGGAAAGGCCAAACCTGAAGGAACCCGCCACAAAGCTTACCAATGCCAACACCGCTCAGACCGCCAGAATGACAACAAGCCACAGATGCACGTTGTAGAAGAAGATGATGAGATCATTGTTGCGGTGGTCTCAGAAGTCAATCTGGTGGAAAACAGTTCGGAATGGGTTGTTGACACTGGCGCTTCAAAGCATTTCTGCGCAAGGAAGGAGTTTTTCACCGAATTCGAGGATGGGAACGTAGGTGAACGTGTGTACATGGAGAACTCTAGCAGCTCTGAAGTGCTAGGCAAAGGCAAAGTTTTACTCAAGCTGACCTCTGGTAAAACTCTGTCTTTAAATAATGTTCTGTATATACCTGCCTTGCGTAGAAATTTGATAAGTGGTGGGCTTCTGAATAAGGCAGGCATTAAGTTAGTTTTTGAGGCAGATAAACTTGTACTTTCCCGAAATGGTGATTATGTTAGGAAAGGGTTTTTTAAGCAATGGTTTATTTGTCATAGAAACTCAATTTAATGAAAATAAAGCTACAACTTCTGCTTATATTGTTGAATCCATTGATATGTGGCATGCTAGATTAGGACATGTGAATATTCATGTTTTAAAGAAATTGATAAATATGAATGTTCTTCCTAAACTAGACACAACTAGCTTTAACAAATGTGAAATTTGTGTAGAAGCTAAGCATACTAGACCTCACTTTAAGATTGTTTCTAATAGAAAGACTGAGTTGTTAGAACTTATTCATATTGATCTAGCAGATTTTAGAAACACTGAAAGTAAAGGAGGAAAACACTACTACATAACTTTTGTAGATGATTATTCAAGATATGCAAAAGTTTATCTCCTAAGGACTAAAGATGAAGCTGAAAACTTCTTTCTTAGAAGTTGAAAATAAGTTAGATAGGAGAATCAAACGGGTTAGATCTGATAGAGGTGGTGAATATGGATCTAATTTCTTAAAAGATATTTGTGAAAAGAATGGCATAATTTGTAACACCCCCAACCCGTATCCGACCCGGATACGAGTCTGAAGTGTCACATTGACTTTTCAAACATTTATTCGTATAAAATAGTGAGTAATTTAAAAACTTTGATAACATTTAACTTATTCAAAACGTTTACAAAATATATCAGAGTTCATACAATTTATATCATTAGACTACATGCCAACTACACTCTATAACCAGTACATATATTTTCTGATCTGACATTTGGTAAGGAGAACTGACATGTCTTGCTCCGCATTCCTCTTTACTCTTCTTGAAACCTACGTGTGAAACAATCACACGCTAAGTCGAAGACTTAGTGAGGCATAACAACTTATAATGCACTTTATAACATATATCAATACATGCATGTTATGTTCTATCATGTTATACCAATTCCATCCATTCTTTGTATCATATAAAATCATATCAAATTAATTACAATAAATACATACATACACATAATTCATCATTAACAGTTTATCATGTAATCACATACTTTTATGGTTAACCTTTTCAATCAAACACTATACACACACAACATCATAACATTTCTATAACATTTATCATACCACTAACATATATTTGTTCATATCTCTGGATTAGCCCATGTACATATGTGAGAACTATCGATATGTGAGTCTATAGAGGTTGTGCACTAATGCTGTCACCACAGCTCGTATAATTGCACCGAA